AGCTGCCAAAGTACGATTTCTGTTCACATCCTGAAGCAAAGTTCTTAACCTGACTATTTCTGGGTTAGTGGAGTCTGTAACCTGAAGCGTATGTAACCTGAAGCATATGTAACCCGAGGTAACACTGTATTTGTCCTTCCAGTGAGCACTCTGGGCTGATTTCCTTAAGAATGGATAGGTGTGGTCTTCTTGCAGTCCATGGGACTCTCAAGAGTCTCTTCCAGCACCATAATTCAAAAGCATCAATTCTAAATGAATTAGGTAATTTAATAAGAAACAAACATTTTGCTAAAGGACCAACTGGAACATTTAGTCACTGACCTGCAAGGGTTGTTACACTATATGCACATGTGCATAGCAATTGAGAACATGCTGTACCAAACCATTCCTTCTTAACTAGCTTGACAGCTACCTGCCCTTTAAAAATGAAGCAGTACATTCACTCCTTGTTGCTAAGGCAATGGAATTAAACAGAGCAACTTGGCTTTAGTTTTAGAAAGAGTATGGCTGAGGGATACACTTTCTCTCTCATTGCATATAAGGCCTTGTTGGGATAAGCTAGCCTATGTTTCAAACCTCATGAGTGAGACCTGATCAAAATAAATAAATTGAACAAACAACATCCCTAACTGGCATGAATAATAATAAATAACTGGTCCTGGAATCCTGACCAGATTCACTTTTACACTTTTCAGTATATTCATAAGTACAAATTCCCTCCTTTATTCCAAACCTGCTTTTCAGATACAAACTTGTGAATTTCCCTGCTCACATTTAAGTAAACATAAGCATTTCTAGGCCTAAGGGATATATTTAAGCACATGCTTATCCTTTCTGCTGAAATCTGCATGTTTTCACTCAGCGCTCATATGCATGTTTGCTCAGAAGAAAGTCCTATTCCATTCAGTGGGGCTTACTCTCAAGTAAAAATGCATAGGGTGCAGTCTTAAATACAGTTAAGTTTATAGTTATAGTTATCATAGTTATAGTTCCCAAATCTGATGTAAGCAGGTCTTTTGTGTGTAAGCAGCCAAGGTGTGTTTGCAGAATTCAATGGATCTCCAAACACATTTTATGCAACCGCTCCATCCTTCCTGAAGCTGCCCCATCCTCATCAGAGTTCCTTCATTTGGTTCGATCTCTTATTTTTCTTGAATTCTTGAAGTGTTGTTTGTCCAACCTTAACTCTTTCTGTGTAGTTTTAGAACAATTGGAAGGACCAGTATTTTGTCTGATAAAAATAAATTGATGGCTTTAAAAATAAAATAAAATCCTGGTTGTCTCCACCTCCCTGATGTCTGATGCTATGTATTCCTGTCATACGTAAGGAATAACTTTCACTTGCTTTCCAGAACAGTTGGTCTGTTGTACCATAACAACAAATCAAATCAAATACCTTTATTGGCATCACAATAACAAAAACCCTGTGTTTACATATTTCTGAGCACAATTCCAAGTGCTGGTAATAACCTATAGAGCCCTATATGGCTTGGGTCCAAGATATCTGAAAGAGCAGATTCCTTCATACAAACCTGCATGGGTTTTGATATCTCCAGGGGAGGCTTTTCTCTTGATCCCACCACTCTCACAGGTATGCTTGGTAGGGACGCAGGAGAAAGCTTTCTTGGTGGTTGCTCCCAGACTTTGGAACTCCCTTCCTAGAGAAATTAGACTGGCTCCCTCTTCGTTCTCCTTCTGCAAGCAGGTGAAGACAGGCTTTGTGGAACTGAGAGTTTTTAAGGAAAGGACTAGTGCTGTAATATTTTTATTGTAATGACCTGTACATTTTAAATATATCTTAATTCTAATCATATATATATTAATATATATTAATTAATATATATTAATTCTAATCATCTTTAATTGTTTTTTTTAAATTATGGCTCCCCACCCCAATGTTTTTAACTGTTTCTATTTTAGTTGTAAGGGGAAAAGGCAGGATGATGATGATGATGATGATGATGATAATAATAATAATAATAATAATAATAATAATAATAATAATGCAACAGCTTCCATGCAGCTCCCTTCAAACTGGCGACTTAGCAGCTGTTTGCCTGTATGAAATAGCATGTAAGGCATGTTCAGACAGCAGTTTTCTGTGCTGCTGATTAGACCTTTAAGCCCATAACTGGAAGCGTCAGATGTGCTCCACCAAGGGAAGGGAAGGATCTTGTTTCACTCACAATGGGAGACCAGCCATGCAAACTACACAGCCCACCTTGGTACTATGTTGGTCTCTGTCAGCCATGGAGACTGGCGGGGGTCTAGTGTCCTCTGAAGCAGAGAGGTAGCTTGCTTAATTACAACAGGCTGGTACATCAGACAATGGATTCCTTTCATTCAGCCAGGAGATGATGAATGCATGCATCACTGTGGGTGGTAAGGAAAGGCTGACATGACCAAGCATGCTGGAAACAGAAGTTATTTTTCAGGCATGGCAATCTAGTCCGGTACAAAGTCAAACAAGACATCAGTCAGCAGATTCAGGACCAGGCCTGCAATTCTAGACCATTATAACGGGCAGGTAGGAGAAACTGCTGTAAACACACTTGACAAGAGCAAATGCTTTGTGTTTATCATCCATTTGTTTTCACCCCGTCTTTCCTCCAAGGAGCTCACAACATGACCCGTCCCTTTTATCTTAACAATATAACCCTGTGAAGTAGGTTGGGCTGTGAGATAACAAATGGCACAAGGTGAGCTTCATATCTGAATGGGGGTGTAACGCTGGCTGTTTTCTGCCCAAGTCCAACCTGCTAACATCCTGACTCTGCATCACATAATTCATAAGCATTTACAATACAGTGGTACCTCAGGTTACATACGCTTCAGGTTACATACGCTTCAGGTTACACACTCCACTAACCCAGAAATAGTGCTTCGGGTTAAGAGCTTTGCTTCAGGATGAAAACAGAAATCGTGCTCCAGCAGCACGGCGACAGCAGGAGGCCCCATTAGCTAAAGTGCTTAAGAACAGTTTCAGGTTAAGCATGGACCTCCAGAACGAATTAAGTACTTAACCCGAGGTACCACTGTAGTCTAAAAACGAAAGGCAAGGCAGCAGCATGTTATTACTAGATCCACCCTGTCCAGAATGCTTTGCCTTAAGAAAGCCCATCCTTCCTTTCTCAGAGCAAGACAGGGTGGAGGAAGAGCCTCTCGAGAGTCTTCTCTGGACCTGCCTGGGCTAATAGTGGGCAAAACGAGTGGGGACAGCAAGTGCCAGTTCACACACACACTCAATCTGAGACAATTGTCTCAAATCATGTTTGGATTGACTTTGACTGACCTGAACAATGGGCACATGCAGTTTCTATAATCAGTTTTGTTTCGTGATGTGATATCCATTCTTGCATTTCAAAATATTTGAAGCTTTATTGTTTAGGTGTATGAATGTTATTGTGCATTTTATTATCCATTGAATTCAAAGACTACCATCTCTGTTTAATTCTGTTGATTTTAGTGGGGGAATAATAGAATCAAAGACTTAACTATTAAGGTCCTTCCCAACTCTTTATCAAGTCCAACCCCCTACGATGCAGAACTCTCAACTGGATCATACCAAGGAAGAAGAGTCCACTACTTCTCATGACCTTATTTTCCACAGTCAGACAGCTGTTGCCACCATAAAGTTCTTCTCAATATTTAGTCAGAATCTCCTTTCTTGCAAGTTGAATCCATTGGTTTGGGTCTTACTCTCTGAAGCAGGAAAACAAGCTTGCTCCATCCTCCACAAAGACAGCCCTTTACATATTTGAAAATGGCTATCCTATCTCCTCTTGGTCTCCTCTTTATCAGGCCAAACACACCGAATTTTCTCTTTGTGCTTGGTTTCCAGACCCTTGATCATTTTGGTCCCCCTCCTTTGCACACGTTCCAGCTTGTCAATATCATTCTGGACATAGTATTCCAGGTGTGTTCTGACCAAGGCAGAACAGAGCAGGACTATTCCTTTCCTTGATGTGGAGAAGTGCCCTGTCCCACACTGCTTTTAATGAGTCTCGTTCCCTAATAAATTGCACCTAGAATTGCTATAGGCCGGCCTGCTCTTATGTTTACTTGGGCATGAGCTCCTCAAAATTCAACAGGATCTACCCGGATGGCCCATTGCATTCCGCCGCCTGAGGCAAGACAGGAAGATGCTCACACCACACAGCCTATCCTGCTACCGGACACCCAGCCTTGCTTACCAGGGCAGCTGTGGCTTCCAACACGATGGCACAAGGTGGTTTTGTAAGGCTCTTGCAAGATCTCACTGGAACCCAGAAACCACCACAGCAGCTTGCAGGGCACCCCTTCAAGACACACAGCATGGATTGCCCCATCCTGGGACTTTCTTCCTTTAGAAGTAATTAAAGGTCTGTATAGTTAAATCTATGGTTTTCCCAGTAGTGATGTATGGAAGTGAGAGCTGGACCATAAAGAAGGCTGATCGCCGAAAAATTGATGCTTTTGAATTATGGTGCTGGACGAGACTCTTGAGAGTCCCATGGACTGCAAGAAGATCACACCTATCCATTCTTAAGGAAATCAGCCCTGAGTGCTCACTGGAAGGACAGATCGTGAAGCTGAGGCTCCAATACTTTGGCCACCTCATGAGAAGAGAAGACTCCCTGGAGTTGGGAAAGGTGGAGGGCACAAGGGGAAGGGGACGACAGAGGCCGAGATGGTTGGATAGTGTTCTCGAAGCTACCAGCATGAGTCTCACCAAGCTGCGGGAGGCAGTGGAAGACAGGAGTGCCTGGCGTGCTCTGGTCCATGGGGTCACGAAGAGTCGGACACGACTAAACAACAACATAGAATTATACCGCCTTAAGTATGTGCGCAACACCTGCCAATAATAGAACCTGGGCGCGCTTCGAAGTGGACCGTGCTTTAAAGTTGTTATGTATTTAAGGGAGACCGTAGCCTTACATATACTTTGCTAGCGTCAATTACTTCCGAAGAAACGTACGTTAAAGAGAGAGGGGGTGGAGAGAGGGAGAGGAGTCCTGGCTGTTCAGCTAGTTCTGCTGGAGCTCGGCTTCCCTGCGCCGGGTCCCGGTCTCCCCGCCCCCCTCCGGGCGTCGCGCGTCTCGCGGCTTCCCTCCCCTCTCAGCTGGAGAGAGAGCTTCGCCGTCCCTCCTGAGCCGGGGAGGGGAGGAGCGACGCGAAAAGGGGCGGAAGTGCAAACAAGAGCCCGAGGAGAGCGAGCGAGCTTCGGCTTGCCGTCTGCTCTCACACGCTCGCGAGTTTGCTGGGAGCGCCTGCGCGTCGTCGGTGTGCTGCTGCTGCTGCTGCTGCTGCCTGTGCGCCCTGAACTCCGCGCGCCTCGGAAGTGAGTGGAGGGGTTTTGTCTTTTGCGCGGGAGGGAGTGGAAAAAGCGGACTTTTGCCGGAGGGGCCACCGCGCTGCGCGAGGTAAAGAGCGAGGAGGAGGCTCCCTTGCAAAAAGGCAGCGCGGGGAAGCCCCTCGCGTAGCCAAAGGAGGGCGGCGGCGGCGGCAGGGTCTGCGGAAGAGGAGAGCGACGCCTTTGCCCAGGGCGTGGGGAGAGGCAGGGGGCTGCTCCTCTTCCTCCCCGCGGCGCCGGCTCACTTGGAGCCGTGAGGGCGTGAGAGAAGCCCGCCGCGAAGGAGACCTGTGTCGGTAGCAAAGTGCGCGCAGAGGAAGGGAATAAAAGCAGGGAGGGAGAGTTCAGGGAACGAGGCTCGAGTACCGAGAGACAGCCCTCAAAGTCCGGAATATTAGACATCCAGATATTTTTTATTTCTCTTTCCAGTTCCACCCATCCAATATCTCGACTTTATCTTTTCAGAGAGGCGCACTCCTGTCCGTGGCACTGGGGCGAAGTCTCAAGAGTGCCTGTCTGCCTGCCTCTCCCTTTCCCCCCCTTTCAAAGACCTGTGATCGAGTAAACGGGAAGTGAGCAGCCAGCTATAATCTTGTTTGTTAGGTGCCTGCGCTGCCTCTCCTTGGGGTCCTTTCCCCAGCTTCACTTCCCCCTTGAAAAAGAAAATCACATTTCATCAGCAAGACTTTAGCTAGCCGTTCCTGCAGCCTGCTGACAAACCTGTAACCCGGACGTGGCAAAAGACAGCATGGAGGGGGAATGAGTCTTAGGGAACACATTCAGGGCAGGGCAGGTTGAAGGGTGTGGGATTGTTTGATGGCTCTGTTTTTCTGGCCGTTGTCAGGGCTTTGGTAACTAGGCTGCAGCCAGATAGAAAAAGTAGAAGTCCCCTGTGTGTGTGTGCACATACATGCACACCCACATGGTATATGGTTAGTGTGGCTGGACTTTTAAGGGTAGGGCTTTTTGTTTTGGTGCCCTGTAGCTGCCATATTTTGTGGTATCCTTAAAAATATAATGCAGCGTAGCAACCTGTTCCTTGCTTATTTAACTATACAATCTTCATGGGAACAGATGCCCATCTGAGACTTTAGGGGAGCAATGAGATGCAACTTAAACATTCCAAAAATGTTGCGTTGGCAGCATTAGCCAAGTGCGAGTCTTTAAATGTCAAAATGAGCATCTAAAGTCTCTTGAGGGAAAACGATTGCAGCTTCAATGAAACGCGGAGGTGAAACGGAGATAGCAGATGGCTAAGCGAGTCTTTAGTACGTCTGTTCTGCATACAGTACATTAAACCAGATAACTACCACCATTAATGCATTAATTTCCAGAATATGACAGCCTCAAGTATAGACATGCCGTGTATTAATTGCAGAAAGGGGCAATGAGCATGTTCTATGAGTGGTTGCCAGTGGAGGTTAAAGCACATTGCTAACCTCTGACATTCTGTGCTTTGAACTCCTGCCTGTAGCAGTGGGTCTCAGGTTTGGTTTTGGGGCTGGCAGAGAAAGAGAAGGCTTTTTCGCAGTAGTAAGGCTCTCTCTTGAAGGAGGTGAGATACCAGTAGTCTTTCAATTTGACAGCCACTAGAAGGATGCTGGTTCAACTATGTACTTGTGTATATGTATTTAGAATTTTGCCTTGATACAGTGTGTCCCCCACCCCTGCCTTGGGGAGGCTTGTTGTGCAGTTTGAGAAAATTTAATATGAATTGTTGTGGTATGCTAAACCATATTTGGGCAATGTTGTTAATGCAACATTAAAAAATGCTACTGGTTTTGTAGTTTTGCCACCCCCCCTCCACACACCACAGCAGTAAATATTATTCAAGGAAATAAGAAGTATCCTTTATAACACTCCCCAAATCACTTGGGGTAAATGTAGTTCCACATAAATACTAAGAAACTTTAGTATCTTTCCATACCATGCTTTGGTTTCGTTTTACAGTCTGTGCAGCCTCTCAGCCTTTCCAAATCGATGGGAATGGATAACAGCTTCTACGTAAGGCTCAGTTACAATATTTTATCTCATGTGGTGCTGAAACACTTCGCTTGAACTTTGAACAGCAGCAACAAATCTACCATTAAAAAATGCCTTAGGCTTCATATGCAAATATTTCGCTTGCAAAATGTTGGTTTGTGTTATGTAACTTCTGCTAGCTACTGCTTTGTGTGCTTTAAGAGTTAGGTAGAAGATTTCAAGGGCTGTTATTCTTTTTACTGCATTAACTTTAACACTTGCTGTAACTGTACAGTAGTGCTCATATGCACGCATTTCTAAATTCATAAAGTCTGAGAAACCCTTTTTAAAATGAAAAATGATACAATCATTCATTTTAAGAATGTATTGTTATATTGATTCCTTTTATGCAGTTTTAAAAGGAAGTTGCTTTGACTATTGGTCTATAAATTTATTGGTTGTTTAATAACAATAACAATACACTCAGAGAGCTGCAGATACTTCACAGCAAGAAAGCCAGTGATTAAGCATTCATAATTATTTACTATCCTAACCTGATATGTGCTAAGGTACCTGCATATGTGTGCAGACCCCAATTCCACGTTTTGCAGTATCATTTCGGCCTGAGCTTAGGGTAACAATTGAATAAACCTTGTGATTTGTAATTATTGTGTAACAATGCAATTCTTGTTGCATTGTATCATTTCGGCCTGAGTTTAGGGTAACAACTGAATAACCCTTGTGATTTGTAATTACTGTGTAACACTTAATGCAATTCTTTATTCTTTCATCCGTGCTCAGATGTTTCCTTTTGCTCACCTTAAGGCAGTGGAGATAGAACCCTTCCTTATCTTGGGGTGACACTAAACATTTGGCTTAATCCTCCATGGTTTGACTGAAAACAAATAAGTGGCATTCAAGGCTTTGGAGAAGCTAGACATCAGAGGTTCCATCTTGATGACTTGAGGGCGGTTGCAGAGTAGGAGGAAATGGAACAGCGGCAACCTAGAATCCTTTATGTGCCATGTTTTCAGTTCCATTCTCTTGCGCCTGTAAAGCATTTTTCCTTCAGAAGAGAGAGACTGAGGCAACACCCAGGGCTGAGTTCTGAGGGGACTCGGCCATGGAATCTATTTTTGGAACTGGGCTGAGCAGGGTTCATGTATGGCATTTTTCAGTGTGTACACAAAGCATCTTGCATGTAAACCTAAACACCATATGTGTAACATAGGAAGCTTGCTAGGGGTACATTTTGCTAGCAAATTTGGACTTCTTCCCGTGTGTGTGTGTGTGTGTGTGTGTGTAAAGGACCCCTGACAGTTAAGTCCAGTTACGAACGACTCAGGGTTGCGGCACTCATCTCGCTTTACTGGCCGAGGGAGCTGACGTTTGTCCACAGTTTTTCTGGGTCATGTGGCCAGCATGACTAAGCTGCTTCTGGAAACCAGAGCAGCGCACGGAAATGCCGTTTACCTTCCCGCCGGAGCGGTACCTATTTATCTACTTACACTTTGACGTGCTTTTGAACTGCTAGGTTGGCAGGAGCTGGGACTGAACAACGGGAGCTCAGCCTGTTGCGGGATTTGAATATTTATATGTATATGCAGTATCTAGCATCTAACCTTTAGCATAGGAGCTACAGCTCTCCAGTCCCCACCCATGTTTAGAATGAAAGAGGAAGCTTTCTGAGCAAAGATGGCTCACTATTCTATCTGTAATTCTGTTGTTTCCCACCTTTCTATTGGTATTGGCAACACAGAATAAGAACATAGCAGTAGAAGTGGGAAAAAGCACCTAGAAATAACACCTAGCACTTATTTAATTTTATTTATTTATTAAATTTGTATACTGCCCTTCATAGGTGGATCTTGGGGCAGTTCACGTCATAAAAATACAAAATATAAACACAAAATATATAGTAAAAACAAGAAAAAGATGAAACAACAACTCCCCCCACCCCCTCCCACAAACGCATTTAAAAGGATGTAGGCAACACATGAGCAAAATACTCAGGAGATGGAAGCTCTCACTTTGTGCTAGCCTTGGAAGCACACAAGAACATGATGCATCTCTATCTCCAGGTGTTGAGGGCTGTCTGTCGCCACCCAGAAGCTCAGCAGAGAGCGAGAGAAGGACAGCCCCCTTGAGATATTCTTTCTATTTGTGAATGTCTTACAAAGTAAGCACCCATTCCCTCTCCACCCTGAATCCTTTGCATGTGCTGGAATATGGATGCGAGGGGTTTGTTCCTTTGGTCTGTGGTTCAGGGAAGGGGAAAGAGAGAGAGAGATCTCCTTTGTGCTCATCTGCAAATAAACCTGACAGGAAAACATTCCTTGTCCACTAGTGGCTAGGCTACCTGGATAGGGATACTACATTTGTGTAACCCTGTGCGATATATGCCTTCCTGCAAAAGGATTTCAAAAGTGTAGCACCATTCCGGGAAAGTCCCTCTTTCCAGCCTGGTGTAACGTAGACTACAAACTTGTGGGTTTCCAGAGCAAGGTCTCTGAAGACCTTGGTGGGGAAGTGGTGTTCCATAAGATACTAGTCTTAGGGCAGGCTTCCTCAAACTCGGCCCTCCAGATGTTTTGAGACTACAATTCCCATCATCCCTGACCACTGGCCCTGCTAGCTAGGGATCATGGGAGTTGTAGGCCAAAAACATCTGGAGGGCTGAGTTTGCGGAAGCCTGTCTTAGGGATTTTAGAGAGAATTGGTTGCTACTGCAACATTTCATGGTTCTCTGTGACTGTGCATCCATCAGTTACGTGGTAGTTGCCAAACAGTCTCTTAAGAGAAGTTGAGTGAGAATTCATTGTGGTAATCCAAGCAGGATTGCAAATTCCCTGTCATGCAGGAAGTGGTGCAGCTGGACAACCAGCCAAAGCTAGCAAAAAGCACTCCTGGCACAGATGCAACCAGCATATGAGGAACACGAGGTGTACTTCCAAGCTGCAAGGTCTATTTTTAGGCTGATATTTGCCCTGTCCAAAACTGGCAAGTACTCATCTCCTTATTTTACTAACGTCAGTGTTTCTCTTACAAAGGTTCTAGTTAATTGGTTAGTCAGCTTTTGCAGGGTGATTTGCATCAGAACGTTTTCTGAGGCCCTGGAGTATGGTCTACTTTAGCAGGCTTGTTTTGCTTGTATTTAGTAAACAAAGCTAAAAGCTTTGAAACTTCCAAGCTCACCTAGTATTTGTTTGCAGTGTTGCATCCATTCATTGTTACTTTTGACCTTATGAAATAATCCCCCCCACACACCGAAAATTCACAGGCTGGGCTTTGGACGTTGGTGACTCTCCTCTTAGAGACTTCAAAATGTTAATATCTGAAGGCCGTATTGCAATTGTTCTTTGTATGTGAGTTTCTTCAACTTTCCAAATAATCCTTTAAAACTTCCTTACAGGCATTCATTCTCTGGAATTAGACCTTGACTTCCAGACGCCATGAACAACTACAGCGTTTCTTTGGTTGGTCCAGCCCCCTGGGGTTTCAGGCTTCAAGGTGGCAAAGACTTCAACATGCCTCTGACCATCTCTCGGGTGAGCCTATTTTGCCTTTTAAAAACCTTTTTATGCCAAAAGCTGCAGCAACATGTGCCACTTGAAACTAGTGAAAAGGAATATTTGTTAACATTATGTGCCTGCTGAATGAAGAGGCATTCAATTCATTTGGGTGCAATTTGGGCATTCATCTTGTTTTTAAGAGAAGTAGCAGTGTCCCGTCTTAGAGGTGGTGGTAATGGCCTTCAAAAGTTTATTAACTGACATAATCACTAATTAAAAGAGTATTTCCTGTCGTTTTGTGTTTGTATCAAAATTAGTATTTTGCTCGAGTTCTTGCTTTTTATCATTTGTACATCTGAGTTACGACATGGTGAGAGAATACACTTGAATGTGTTAATTGTGATAGACATTCTGGTTATAAAATGGCAAAAAGCAACTGCCAGAACCTGATTCACTTTCCCTTCCTTTAGTGTAAGTGAGATGTGGAGAGACAGTGCTGTGGTACTTAATTTAGGACTGGGGCTTTGTTAAAATGCCCAGGTCTTCTCATACCCATGCTTTGGTAGGTAAAGGTAAAGGAGCCCTGGATGGTGAAGTCCAGTCAAAGGTGACTATGGGGTTGTGGCGCTCATCTCACTTCAGGCTCAGGGAGCCAGCGTTTGTCCACAGACAGCTTTCCAGGTCATGTGGCCAGCATGACTAAACCGCTTTCTGGTGCAACAGAACACTGTGACAGAAGCCAGAGCACATGGAAATGCCGTTTATCTTCCCGCCACAGCGGTACCTTTTTATCTACTTGCACTGGTGTGCTTTCAAACTGTTAGGTTGGCAGAATCTGGGAACAGAGCAAAGGGAGCTCACCCCATCATGCAGACTTTCTGATTGGCAAGACCAAGAGGCTCAGTGGTTTAGACCACAGCACCACCAGCGTCCCCCCATCCTTTGGTAAAAGTAGTCAACTGACTAGGAAAATGCTGTTGAATAATGTATATGTGCCCTGTGAAAGGGCAATACTATGACTTCTTACCCAGAAAATAGTTTCCTGTTAACTATTCCAGACTAGAATACTTACTACTTTCTTTTGCAAAGGTAGCTCAAATTATTTCATTTTAAAATATTAAAAAGGGCCCTTGTGTGTGGTGATGGTAGACAGAAATGTTTCCTGACATCATAAGATCAGAGAGAACAGGTGGGTAGCACAGTCCAATAGTCTTCAATGTTTTTTAACCCTCGACCTTCCTATAACCAAAGCATGCATTTGGGAACCCATGATGGTAATGTTTGTGGTAAGTCCTCATCCACCAGTTGAAGGCCAGTGACATAGACAATGGGAAAACAAAGGAAATGGGTAGTATAGCAGAAAGGAAATACAAAGCAAGCAGTTTAAGATAACACATTAGGGGAGTCAACACTTGGAAAAATGTGTTCTCCGAAGCTGATTATGTTGAGGAGTTCTAAGCTGTCATGGAGCCTCTAGGTTGGATCTATTTTGCAAGTTGTTCCTTTAAACTTGAAAAAGGTGTATTACCTTTTTCATGCCATTCAGGGGTCCTTAAAGTATGCTAGGGTAAATAAAGGGACTCTTCCATCTGCTTCCTTAAAAGACCACATTTTTAAAATGGCCCGGCTAACACATTAATTCCCAATACATAACCCACTAGCATCTTGTAACAGCAGTGCTGCCTTGGGCTCCTTTGGGAGGAAGGGTGGGATATAAATTTAATAATGCAAGTCTCCTGAAAGCAAATGCAATTTATGCATCATGTTTATGTGTGTGTGACAGGTCTCCAGTGGATTTCATCCATATTAATAAGTCTGAACTAGGACTACAATACATTATACACACACACACACAGTCCAAATGTAGACTGGAGTTAATGTTCAGTGTGTGTTCCTTTGTACGGCATGTTGGAATTAACGCACTTCATTCTGGTATGCTGATCAATTGCTCCTCTGATAGTATAATGGAACTGTGTTGTGTTATGGGTACATCAGAACAGGGTGTACAACACAACACTCTTCTCTTCCCAGTAAAGCCAGAAGTGCTAGCTAATTAAATGTTGATAAAGAAATGCGCGGACAAAGGAGCAGAGCTGTTTATGTGCCCTTTACCAAGGTCCTGCTGTCTTCTTGTGACCTTCTTGGGTTTGGGGGAAGTCATGCGTGCAATTCATTCTGTACTGCGAGAGCAAGTTATTTTTATGGCTTTGTATTGGGAGCTGGCATCCCCATAACTGCTGCGTACAAAGGGAAGCTTAAAAATACTTTTCAACAGCACTTTTAAACGGTGACTAAATAGAAATTAGTTCCTAATGGATTTTATTATCAGCAAGAGCGTCCATAAAAGCAAATGTCATATTCAGTAAAGCACCAAGAGTTTCCTTCATAAAAACCGCTGCACTCACAGCTTCAGTAGACTTGGTAGCTGCCTGTTTGAAATGGAAAAAATGATTTCAGCTTTCAAATGCCCAGTGAAGTAAGCTCAAGCGAATGGAGAAGGCTTTGATCTGAGCTAATTGCAAGCTACGAAACTTTAAACAATTTGCCATTTTTACCTTCAGGGTTGCCATAGCAAGCCTGCTATTTTCAACCCGGTTTATGATGCTGGAAACTGGATTATAGGGAAGACCCATGGAATCAGATTTAATTTAGGGCAGCCTTTCCAAACCTGGTGCCCTCCAGATGTGACGGGCTATAATGACCGTCATACCTGGCCATTGGTGTGCTGGCAGGGGCTGGTGGGAGATGCAGCCCCAAACATCTGGAGGGCACCATGTTGGGGAAAGCTCATTTAGTGACTAACTTCCTAGAATGGAAGCAGTAAAGTAAAGGTAGTCAGCAAGGAAGAGAGAGAGAATTGGAAAACATTTAATGGGAGTAAAAAGTGGAAGGGAACAAAACTGTGAACGGATTTAAAGGGTATTTCAGGAGTACCATTACATTAAATCAGCTTATGTATAATGTCTCTTTAGATTAGGCATTTATTTATTTTGAGTATTTATGCCCACCTACTAAATGAAGTTGTCTAGGTGGCTTATGATATATAGCTTAAGATACAGTAACATAAACAAGAATTACTACAGAGGTAACAAAAAGTCGTCCACCCGCCCCCCCCCCCGAGCCCTCAGTTATTCCAGTTGTCATTCTGCTTCCGAATCTCTGGAGCAGATCTTGGAGGAAATGATCCAGACTCGGAAATGACAGCTGAAGTAGCCAGATGCTGGTCCCCTGCAGAGCAACCTCCTCACATGTGCTGCTGCTGTTTTGCCTTGCAGTTCCTGGCTCTGTAGGCAGATGCAAAACAGGAAGCTGCTTTAGACTGAGTTAGAACATCAGTCCATCAGCATTGCCTGTACAGTGGTACCTCGGGTTAAGTACTTAATTCGTTCCGGAGGTCCGTTCTTAACCTGAAACTGTTCTTAACCTGAAGCACCACTTTAGCTAATGGGGCCTCCTGCTGCCGCCGTGCTGCTGGAGCACGATTTCTGTTCTCATCCTGAAGCAAAGCTCTTAACCTGAGGTACTATTTCTGGGTTAGCAGAGTCTGTAACTTGAAGCGTCTGTAACCTGAAGCGCCTGTAACCCGAGGCACCACTGTACTGACTGGCAACAGCTCTCCAGGGCTTCAGGCGGGGGGCCTCTCCCAGTCCTCCCTGGCATTGCTAGGGGTTGAATCTGGAGCATGGAAGCTCTACCACTGAGACAGATACAGTACTAGCATAGCATAGCAAAGCTCCTGATCCTGTTCCATCTGCCATTCTCAAGACTGTGAAGGAGGTGCAAATGTAAAAGGGCATGAAGCCTTAGGTTTTGCTCCTAAGCTGAAAAGCAAGCACAAGAACCTTAGCCAGTAGATGTAGTTTAAAACACTATTGAGTACTTCCAGCATAGTATTGTGTTCATTGTTTCACAGCGCTTTTTGTTGAGTAACAGGATGAATTTTACTCTTGAGGAGTATGTATCAAATCTCCAAGGAGGCCTCTGAATCCCCCTTCTTTTGCTTGATTTTCAGAGGGCGTATGTGGGTATCCTCCCTAATATAATTAGTTGAGCATTCCTTGTCTCCAAAGGGAGCTGGTTCCTCTGTGAGTCTAGTGAACATACGTCCATGCACCGCAGTTGCTGGACTGGGATCGAATTATACCACTATAGGAAAAGCAAACATTTTTTTTCTTGCTCGGCTTCATTCTTAAATAGGTTGCAAATCTGGACTGTTTAAAATAAGAAGCTTTCAGTTAAATGTCAAATGAAGGTAAGTCATATAGGTTTAAGATGCCTTTCATATCAACTGAAATGCTCTGAAAGAAGCATAGAAGCATGACACAGATTCCTGGATCTGTCATGCACACCGCTCCCCTCACTCCAATAGACTTAAATATTATGAAATATGCGTAGCAATAAACTTTGTAGAGTTTGTTTGCTAGGAGTGACTGCCTATAAGCACAACCTAGTGGACAGAAAGCTTAATTTCACACCTGTAACAAAACAAATTGAACAAACGAGTGGAAACTTGCAGATGCATATGTTTACATAATATATTTGTATATTTTGACCCCACTTCTCTCTCTCTCCATCCTCCTCTCTTCACACACAAACATGGTAGGTTTAGCCACTCAGTAGTTGTATATGTGCTCTCCGTAGTTCACTCATATCTGCTGAATGTTCCACTTGTCCAGATATAGGAACACTCAACTGGATGATGCTGTTAACCATGTTAACTGGATGGAGAGGAGGAGAATAGTAGGGTGAGTGGCTTGTGGCTGCAGAGGAGATGGAAGGAAGAGAGGAAGGGAGGGAGGGAAAAGCTGCAGTGGGAGCTGGGAAAAGGCAGAGAAGCCTGATCACTTCTTAGATATTCATGTTTGCTGTGCTAAAAAGAAACTCCAAGCCAAGCAAGGCTTGAACATTTAGGTAGGTGGTGACTCCAAGCATGTGTTCTGCAAGTATTGGCTGTGCTATTGTGGGAAACCTGGAAATAGTGTACACTGGAGCTTGTTTGTATTGGGACCAGAGATAGGTTGGGCATATAGCAGCTC